TTTAACATATAAAAATATTAAATGTTTTAGAAAATCTTTCCTGTTTATATTCTCTAGAGCAGGACTGGCCAACAAGTTTATCACTGTATTATTTTTAGTCAATTGCAGATAATATGGCATGTTAAAACACAAAAAACATTTGTATTATTTAGTAGTTAAACATATTTTTATGAAGAAATCTTTTAGCTGTTCACTATGTGTTGGTGATGCACACTGCCAGCCCGAGCAAACTCAGCACCCTAGGCAAATGACTTTTGACGTCGTCCCATTTTAAAAAATTGAAGACCATTAATCATGATTTAATATGTAGCACACAATATTGCAATCATAAGACTATGGTGCTACTTTCAAAATGGCAACTTGCGGGTCAACACATGAGAAAGGATTGAGATCAAAAAACGTTTATTTTTTCATTATTTATTGTAATTTATGCATGTACTTTTGCCATGTTGCCCCCTCCGAATTCAAGTGCTCTAGTCCATTGCCTATTTTGTCTATTTGAATGGGCCGGTCATGGTGATGCATATAGTGGATATGAAGAAGTGCTCTTTGTATTGCTAGGTTATGTTGTTATTCTGGGAATTGTTTTGTTGTGCTCTAAACTTCAGTTAAATGTAAAATGAGTGAACCAAAGAGGAACAAAACTTTGTGTAATGATAAGAAATAAATAAATGTTTGTTGTACAAAAAGACATATCCTGGAATGTTAATTACTATGCATTAACTAAATATAACTATGTTTAGCAGCATAATTTTATTTGGGTAGAATATCAAGCTTTTAGCCTATAGAACAACAAGTAGTGTTGGGTATATCATGAAAGTCAATCATACCCTACAATAAGGCCAAACCTGTTCTAGAATAGTCATGTGTTTTCAAAGTGTTAAATTCTTAAACTAAATCACTAAATAGTCCAAAATCTGTTTTATGCATCCTGTAAGATTTTGTCATCTCTTCAAAATATTGCTTACTTCAGTTGTAGTTTTACATTATGGAGTCCCTAGGCAAGTGTGAACTTGCATGATCCTTTTATATACATACTCAAATTCTATATTAAATATTACTTGTACAGTATAAGATAAAGAACTATAGCTAGTAGGTTATCAGCAATCTGCATTTGTACATCTGACATCCTTCATGCAAAACCTAAGTCACATGTGCTTAAAATTGCTATTACTTAAATTCAAATAGATGCAAAAAGATGTATTTTATTCTTTTGTTCCATATTTGGCTAAGAATGTAAGGTCTCTGAAGTTCTCAAATTTGAAAAATTTACTTTCCAAACGAATGCCATAAATATACTTGTCACTAATCAAAAAATTATACATTTTTTGCACTTAATACAGTACTATGCAAATTTTTAGATGGTTAACTTTTTTAATTTCTAGTTTCTGCAGGAATCTATACAATGCAACTAATTCCCTGTAAAATAGCATTTTAATAACCAATGTTAATTATTGTCGTAAGTTAATTTTCGACTAATTAAAAGTATGATTATATGTATATTTCTTGTAAAAAAATCTCACAAATATTAAAAAAATTCCTCTTCCAACTTAAATTTTATCCAAGATTCTTTCTATTTACTCCACTTTTCAAATGTAGAAAAAAGAAAAAAATTTGACATATTTTAATTAACTATCAAACTTCTCCTCCATTCATTTTTAACTAAATCCTAACTTTGACATCAGTAACATCATTTTTTTATAAGGCAAGAATTGAAATCAATATAAATTTATTTTTAATGTATCAAACCTTGATATTAAATTCTAATTTAAAGATCATTCAATATTAACTTTATCAAAACTTCTTATAAGAGATGTTTTTTTGGTGCAATCTTGCCGACTTTTTTCAATTATTCTCCGACAACCATTAAATCTTTCTATCGCATTTTTGAATTTTAACATCTGGGATAATTAAATTTTATTGTTTTCTTATCGCAGTTTGAACAGAGAATCATTTTGTTTGGTCAGCAATTGGGTATATGTGTTAAAATAGATTAATTGTGGAAATGTTTATGTTACGTATAGATACAACATAGTACAATAGAATTCTGATTATCCGAATTAATTCTTTCTGTGAGTGATTCGAATAAGTGGATTAACATGTAGAGAATGAAATTATAGGATAGCAGCACAGTATGGTACACATACTGTATTTATTTATTTATCAATGTGCAAGTAGTATCCTACCAATCACTGCAGTCATGTGAAGTAAGGGAATTACAATCTGAAATCATTCAGAAAATTGGAGTTCTACTGTATAATGTATAATTTACTTAGATATTGTTTTATTTTCATATTTAGAAATTTAATTATAGCAAAAATTATAGATGGATATAAGTTTCTAACATGTCAAGGTTGGCATCATTTAGTAATCTCTTTTCAATATTTTCTATATTTTCTGTCTACTGTCAGTATTACATATCTACAGCATCATGACATAACTGCAAATAAAATATAAGCAAATTTTCTCTTTCTATGTCCAATGATTTTTTAGTTTCTGTATATTTGATGATCCATCAATAGGGAGATTTATAAAATGCATCCAGTATGTATAGAACATAACTCATATCATATACTATACACTTCTTTATTAATTAATTAAAATAGAAAAAGATAATTAAAATTAGCTTCTATCTTCATTAGTATTGAAACAAGTTAAAAACAATTACATATTTGAAATTTCTAACTCTTTATTCTATGGGCACTAACTTGGCCTTTTTTCCATGCCCATTGGATTGAAGCAAGCTCACAATGGAGACTCCTGGATGGTCAGGAACAGACTGACATACAATGTGTCCTTTAAGTTACTATGTAATGGAAAAGTTTTAATAAAAGTGAAGTTTTATGTACAATATTTCGGTTTCTCCTATGGCAAATGCCAGAAATATTTCCAGAGGACTCAAAATCCAGGAGTGCTAGTGGGCCAGATTTGATGGGATATCATTAATCAATGGAGAAGTCCTTGAAAAACCAGAACATACTTAAGCAATCAGTGATGCAATCTGCCTCAAAGTGGAAACATAGGACATATGACTTATAGATCTTCTTTGCAATGCTATACATATAATTATTATAACTTTAATGTCCTTAGAAATTTTTCACTGCACAATAACTTTTTGGATACCCTGTATCCAAAAAGTTATTGTTTAAACAAAACAGCAAAACAGTTTGTGTTGTTTCTACAACCAGGTACCTTAAAATAAAATCAGAGTTAATATAAATAATAAATTTCATCATCTAAAGCAAAAAACATCTACAGCTTTATTGCAATGATTTGTTTTTTCAGATGAAACAAATTTTTACAATTAATTTTTTCTTCTAAGTCATCGTCATTTTTTTTCATATATGTTTCCTTCATACAAGGTGGTCTGTTCACAGTAACTTTTTGGATACCCTGTATCTGAGTTACTGTGAACAGACTATCCGTGGATAACTTCTAGGATTACTCCCCTGGTTTTGATCATGGCTCCTTAACTCTATGGTATACTGATGTCTTAGGCCATTTAGCATCCAAACATATGTATTACATAAACATAACATTTTTTAACATGTACAGGAATACAGCCATTAAAGATTTTTTCCTTTAATGAACTATATTCCAAAATGACATTATTAAAATTAATGAAAATACTTAAGTTTTAAACTTGTTTATATTTTAATAGTTGAAAAATAGGTTATACAGTGTAAGATTACTGCGCGACAGTTTGAAGATCTTCAATTTTGTGATAATTTAGTGATGAAACTTTGTTATATTCCCCACTGAATTTACATATTAGATGGTCAAATCTCTTTTGTTTAAGCACATAATTTCACATAATGACTTAATTTTGCTTCAAATATGAATATTATGTATTTATTATTCTCCAGTTTTTCTCTGTCAAATTGTGCTTTAAATGTGAACATTTGTGATATTGAAAATTGTGTAGCATTAAAAAGCTATCACTTTCCTTAGTTTAAAGCAGGGCTTCTTAAACTATGGGTCGCGACCCCATTTGGGGGTCGCTTAGCGAAATCTTGGGGTCGCAACATTTTAATGCAAAATATTGAAAATAATTTGTGAGAGTTTGAAAATGGCACGCTTTATGTCACCTCTGGTGCAGCGAGACAACGATTCCGCAACACTGATTGTAGTGTGAACTAGTGTAGTGTTGTCTCTTTTCAGTGTATTCAGTTGTCTCTGTTCCATTGTAACACAGGAGTGAACTGTGGTAGTACACCATTATTGTTTTTGCAATTTTGTATATATCTTCATTTTATTTTTTTTTGGTCGCGAAAAAAATCACAATCATAAATGGGGTCGTAAATAGAAAAAGTTTAAGAAGCCCTGGTTTAAAGTGTATATCATTTTTGTGGTTTGCAGTACTTTCTGAATAAACCAATTTTGCCCAAATATCCTATTTCAAAGACAACTAAGCTAGAGTAGATTTTTGTAAAGTAAGACCCATCATCAATCAAATTTCATAACAAATCAACTAATTTACATCCTTAAAATTGGGAGGCCACTGCAACAAACCTATCAGTTTGTTACTCTGGGAGATGTGGGCTGAAGTTCAGGTTGGATGCTCAGAAATATTCATGAATGCTTTGGATAGCATGTCTAGATTGGACCTGTGGCTTCGAAATGATACAATGAAAACCATACATTGCTTAGCTAAATAGTTTTTAAAAAGTGTAGTTAGTTATTTTAAAAGTCCAAAATTATCCCTCAGTTGAGGATATTTTAAACCAAATATCAGATGAATGTTTTTGGGCTTTTCTGTAGAGAAGTGGGAGGAAATATCCAAAATACTTAAGGTGTGCAACTAATGTTCTATAGTAATGATTGGTGCTTGGGTTTTCTCTAATATTGGTGTAAGTGATTAGATAAACGTGCACTAAATTAAATGAAAAACTATCATCAAATTATGTAATACATCCTATCAAATGCTATGTTTGACAAACAGTTTGTGTTGTTTCTATGACTGAGCACAAAGTAAAATCAGAGTTAATATAAATAATAAATTTCATCATCATAAAGCAAAAAACATCTACAGCTTTATTGCAATGATTTGTTTTTTCAGATGAAACAAATTTTTACAATTAATTTTTTCTTCTAAGTCATCGTCATTTTTTTTCATATATGTTTCCTTCATACAAGATGAAAAACAGGCTTTTGAAGGCACCAATTTGCTACATATGATAACATCGTCAATCCCATTTTCTGAAGGAACTGAAAGGGATTGTTTCTACCATTGCAGTCGTCATATATATATATATTTTTTTTTATTTGTTTATTTTTTTTATTTATATATACAGACGGTGAGCTGATAACAGTGTAAAGTTATATCCTAAGGCAGCAAATACAGGTCACCAATAACCTCCACATATCTCTCTGAGTTGCTTTGTGTTTTGTAATTTTTGTAAGAGAAGCAGCTGTACAACCCGTTAGCGTCGAGAAACGTTTCCCGCTCCGCATTCCGACTCCGGACCTGATTCCTGTCTCATTACATTCATGATCGAAATTTTTGTTCCCAAAATTAAGAATCCTTTTTGTTTAGCATGTCTCAGATGAAAATGATAATAATAATTAATTCACAGCTTCAATAACAGTTGTGACCACAGAAATTAACATTTTATGAAGCGAAAGGCCCTTTTTTTTTCTTTTTAAATTCGGTGGGAACGGTAGTTTGTCCCTGCAGTACCATCACCTAAATTCATTTTTCGTAACAGGTTATTATTATTTTTTGAAATTGTTTCCCCCTTCTACTGAAATCAGTAAAAGGAGCAAGGTATCACCGAAAACAGTGGGAAACGAGGCTAAATGTGAGCAATACACTGAACAACATTGTCACAGATGTGATATGGTTGATTGGTGCAGAATTATCTTGACATAATCCTGGAAATTTATATATATTTCATTAAAAAAATTTCTTTATTTTATTATAAATTGACATATTCTGAACTCCTTACCTCTGTTTGTACCATTTAGAGCAATTAACCCATCCCTTCCTAATTGTATGTTCCTCGGACAAGTCTCCAAACTACCCGAAAACTGCAAAGACTTTTCATTTTCTGTATATGCCTGCAAAACACACGTGATTAAATTATAAAATACCAACATCAAATTATATTACTATATAATAACCTTAAACACTAACTTGCATCTGTGCAGAGCAAGAATGAGTCTATGTTAGTATGTGTAGGGTGCAGGCTATATGAATTTAATAGTGTTAGAAACATATTTTAGATCACTGACATATGCTCTTTAGACTTTTATTTATTTATGTAACACATGGCCAAGATTTACAAAATAACTTGCACATTAAATGCATACTGCAAAGATCTACTTTTTATGCAAATGATTTAATAAATTTTTTCTTGAATTTTACCAGTGTAAAGGTATTTTTCATGGCCAAGATTTACAAAATAACTTGCACATTAAATGCATACTGCAAAGATCTACTTTTTATGCAAATGATTTAATAAATTTTTTCTTGAATTTTACCAGTGTAAAGGTATTTTTCATGGCCAAGATTTACAAAATAACTTGCACATTAAATGCATACTGCAAAGATCTACTTTTTATGCAAATGATTTAATAAATTTTTTCTTGAATTTTACCAGTGTAAAGGTATTTTTAATTACTCTGTAGCAGAGATAGAGACTTATCACATTGTTACTGAGGACATTAAAATGACACTTCTATCATTAGAATACAACTTTATTTCTGGTATACATTTCAGTCCTGAAAACACTCTTCTGCCATACATGAATAAATAGGTATGTGCTTTAGATCTACACATTAGAATAATGCCCATTCACTAAAAACATTTCTTAGTATGGAACAAATAATAAAACGATGTGCAATGATTGTAGTAGATATTTAGTATTGATAAAAAACACTTGTAGAAAAACTGGAAATAGAGATGTAGTGTGATTAGTATCTACAACAATGTTTAAGAGAAATGGTCTTTCATTGAAATCATTTATCATCATAAAGATCTTTTCTCTTAAACATTGTTGTAGATACTAATCACACTACATCTTTATTTCCAGTTTTTCTACAAGTGTTTTTTATCGATACTAAATATCTACTACAATCATTGCACATCGTTTTATTATTTGTTCCATACTAAGAAATGTTTTTAGTGAATGGGCATTATTCTAATGTGTAGATCTAAAGCACATACCTATTTATTCATGTATGGCAGAAGAGTGTTTTCAGGACTGAAATGTATACCAGAAATAAAGTTGTATTCTAATGATAGAAGTGTCATTTTGATGTCCTCAGTAATGGCATGATAAGCTCTGATATCTATGCTACATAGTGTATGAAATACCTTTATTAAAATTAACTGAGACAAGAAGCTTTAATATATTTTTAAGTACTGTTTTAGCTGGTTATACACACCAGTGATCTTACTTATTTGTTTGTTTTCTTGGGCTTTATCATTGCCACTGTGCAATTACATGCAGTGTAGTCCAATCCAGTCCAAAACTAAAATATTTTATTTGATATGATAAATATCTTGTCTTTATCTAATAATGTGTCCAAGTCAGAGAATACCGAATAATATATTTTCAGTTATTGCCACTGTTAAAGTAACACTTATGTATTTACATCCCACCCTACAATAACTAGAAGTGTTCGCTTGTTCATATATTTTCATCCTTTCAAAGAATACAAGTGTAGTGTTATTGGACCACTCTACCCCAATTGCGTCTTCTCGGCCCATGTCCAATCTCTTTACAAACAGCTGTAAAAGTAATAAACAAAGTGTTGTAAGGGTATGGAGAAATATAGCTTAAAACGCTTTTATCCGAAAGACTGTCTTAAGAATTTATGTACTACAGTATAATCTATATATATATATAACATAATTTAGAACTCTGTTTTATGATTTTTTACACTTTCAAATTTAAACTTTAGCAATTCTTATAAGCCAAACACATACAATAAATAAAAGAACATACAGTATATCATCAAGTAGCATATATATAAATTTCGAATGCCATAATGGACAACAAGATACAAATGCTGGAACAGATAATGAAATTTGTATTTGATAAGATTAAAAATGTTTCAAATTGTTCTCGTTTGAAGATGATTTTAAATAAGACCTGTAGTGATATTGGATTCTCTACATTGGTGCAGCCGACAGGATTCGAACCTGTCAGCTGCACCAATTTAAAGGGTTGATAGACTTCTCCCTTAAAAAATTTTTTATTTATTACTAATGAGTGCTTCATTATATTTCTTTATAAAAATATTAAGATATTTATATTTTAATATTTTTATAGGCACATTTATTAATAATAACAACATTTATTTTTTGTACAATTTAAAAACTGCCTCCAAAGATTTGCTCCTAGATTCAGCTTTACTGTGGTTAGTTATCAACAAATGTGAAATTTATTAAAATCTCATTAATATGAACAACAAGGATTTCTGAATCCACAGGATCAAGGAAACACTGAATGCAGTATTGCAGTGTTTCTTAACAGGGGGGCCGTGGCCCCCTGGGGGTCTGTAAGAAGTTTGCCAGGGACAGCCAAATTATGCAAAATTTCCTTCAGAATATAATAAAAGGAAAACTGATGTATAACTGAATATCGTATTGAAAAGTGAAATAAGAAAGATAAAGTTATCATATTTAGGTTTTTTATTTATTTCTTATTTTATTCCTGCATACAACTTTATTAGTACAGAAGAAATAAATGCAAATATGCTACTTACACTCAGGGCCGGATCATCGCATAGACAAATGAGACAAATGTCTAGGGCCCGGTTTTTAAAGGGCCCGGTCAAACTGTCTATTTTGAAATGATTTGTAAATAAGATAGTTTACTTTTCTGTTGGACAACTGTATAATACTGGTAAAACTGATAAAATATGTTATTTAAATATTAACCAAAAAGATTAAAATAAACAAGTAAAACGGCAAAACCGTATTTGGGACACGACTATGTCTCGGAGACAATACTAAGCAGAATCACTTTGACACTCAAGGCGGGTCTCGTTCTCATTATCCAATCTTCTTTGGTATCGCTGCTTTTCGGTGCAATCATTCAAACTTCGCCGGCCACTACCACGATTTCATCCACGATGCATTTTTGATGAAATTAACCTATCCAATTTCGAAATTTCTCTCCGTTGCAACCCGTCAGCCCGGGTTGAATTTTTGTCGATGCCTAACGAGAATTTCCCGTTTTTGAAAAAAATAATCGTGNTCAGGGCCGGATCATCGCATAGACAAATGAGACAAATGTCTAGGGCCCGGTTTTTAAAGGGCCCGGTCAAACTGTCTATTTTGAAATGATTTGTAAATAAGATAGTTTACTTTTCTGTTGGACAACTGTATAATACTGGTAAAACTGATAAAATATGTTATTTAAATATTAACCAAAAAGATTAAAATAAACAAGTAAAACGGCAAAACCGTATTTGGGACACGACTATGTCTCGGATACACTAGTAAGCAGAATCACTTTGACACTCAAGGCGGGTCTCGTTCTCATTATCCAATCTTCTTTGGTATCGCTGCTTTTCGGTGCAATCATTCAAACTTCGCCGGCCACTACCACGATTTCATCCACGATGCATTTTTGATGAAATTAACCTATCCAATTTCGAAATTTCTCTCCGTTGCAACCCGTCAGCCCGGGTTGAATTTTTGTCGATGCCTAACGAGAATTTCCCGTTTTTGAAAAAAATAATCGTGGCTATTGTATCGTCCGAAATTATTTTTTTATTTTGCACAAACAATATACAGTTTAACCCGATTATAACGTCATCGGATGTAATGACAACCCTAATATAATGTCAAATTTTTACTGGTTTCACGATTTTACTATACTAGATAATGTTAAAAAACCTACTTCTAACGACATAAAACACTGTTTTAATGTCATATTTGAAGCACTCCTAAATTTACAAAATTAGATTACAAATTTTATTCAACAAAGAAAATACTACGTGTTCAGTCCTAGGGTCACAGTCCAGTTCCTAGAACGACTGTGGGTGGTACTCTCACCACCTGACTTCGGTTTGCCTGTTTGTAGAGAGAGTCGCCATTTTGTATTTTACTTTGACTCGGTTCTCGGTCCTCTGAGTATGCTATCTACAAGCCTGGTTTTTTTGTGTGTGCATGATTTTGGCACTTAATACTCTGTGCCATATTGCAACTCCTGACATGTACTCTAAGCTACCTCTAATACCTTTCATACCTCTAAGCTGGTAACACAGCAGGCAGTACGATTTTATAAACAAGACACAGTCTTGTTGAAAATTAATATTTTAAGCTAATATTTATTTTGTATAACAACTTTTGTTAGACATTTAATAAAATAAATTTCAATTTTTTAAATTTATAAACAAACTGTTCAAACTTTTCTAGAAAAACTAAAATTTATTGTTGTGTATTAAATATTTTTTATTAATAAAAATTTAAGATTTGTTTTAGTTTTTCACATTATTTAATTTTGTTTTATTTATTGTTTTATATTTTTTGTGCGCTCTATTTCTTGTGAACGAGGGGGGCCCGGTAAGAAGAAAATGTCTAGGGCCCCAAAGTGGGTTAATCCAGCCCTGCTTACACTGCACTATTTACTTCTTTTATTTCAAAGTAATTCTAAGAAACTATTAAAACTATTAATGTTTGGAATTTTGCATACAAATTCGTGCAGAAAATCCTCCCGTTTTCAGCAACAATACAAAATTTGCTGCATTTTGCAAGTATGTATTTTCGAATATTTTTTGTTTTTTCTATGAATTTTTAAATGTTTCTTATTTTATTTTTTGTTAAAAATTAATGAGCTTTTATGTTTAATTGTGGAGTTTGAATGTTATTTAAATAACTTTATTATTTTATTATCTATGTTTTATATTTATTATGTACAAAAATAAAGCAATAATAAAAAAATCAATTTATTATAGATAATTTAACAAATATAAATTATTATTAAAAAAATGGGGGTAAAAAAAAATTATGAAATATTTGGTGGGCTGCGAGTATAAAAAGGTTAAGAATCACTGCAGTATTGCATCATTCATTCAGAATGTTGTAGAAAACAGTGTACCTTTCATTTATATTAATAACATTATTCTAATGTCTAAATAATTCTAGTAAACAACAAAATATTTGTTAACCTTTCCACCAGCAGATTTAGTTCTTGTTTGGTGCAAAGCAGCCAATTAATCATGTTTCCGGACTTTACTAAGGTCATCCAATACAAGAAATTCTCAGGAGAATCAGTATTACCAAAACTAATGGGTCTAAAAATTCTCATTTGTGCCAGTATATGGGTTAAGAGTAGATGATTAGGAAATGGTTTGGAGAATATGTTTCAAAGTAAAATCTATATTATTGATCATAATGTTAATAAATAGAGCACTAAAGACGGATGATGCTTCAAGAGTATTCTTCGATGTTTTCAGGATTATTTCCATGCTTCTATAACCTTCCATTCATGTGATACCATTAGCATCAAATTAATTAAGTATATCAATAAAAAGTATTTGTTACAAATTAAAGCTAATTACAATTTGTTTGATTCAATGCTTTACAAAATGATCTATTTCTAATCATCAAATTAGAATGATGCTAATGTTACAGAACAGCCATCATTTGAATGTTTAATAATATATATATAGTGATTAAATTGAGTTCAAGGATTTATAGTCAAGTAAATATGTGTGTTAGGTTATTATACTGTTCAACATATTTGCACCAAATTTAGCATAAATATTCTTCAGCAACCTAGAAAAAATACTGTATGGTCACCAACCCTAAAGCCCACTCCTTAGTTTTAGCCCAAGCAACTTTTTTTGTGTTTTGATGTTTCATTATTGTAAATACTAGCACAATAAATGTACATTTTAGTTAATAAGACAATTAATTTCATCACCCTCTCCCAACCCAACCTAACCAATCTCCCACCCCTCAAAAGTACCAGTTAGCCAGGCTCATGGAGATGGTGGGAGGAAAAAGTACATTAAGAAATAATGTAAACAAATGTGGCAGACAGATATATTTTCTGTCATTCGTGATCAAAAAGATGACAATAATTATTTAAAATGTAAGAAATTTGAATATGCAGATAAAATAGAAAATTCAGTAGTCTTGTTTCATTAATAAGATATGCACGAAACTGAACAAGCAACTTGAGTTTTATTGTTAAATATTTAATGAAGCATTGATTTGTTGCTAAGGTGTGTGAGATTCTTAATTTGCTAGGTTACAGGTTAGAATCTCATTTCTCTTGTGAATTTTAAAAGGAGGGGTTGTTTGTTCGAGAAGTGCACTTAGCCATGATCCTTAGTGGCATTGGAATTGTTCAAAATTAATAAAACTAGTTTATTTGTATTATATAATTTTGATTATTTTATTATAAATGTGAGATAAACAACTAATTCTAGTAGTTGAATTGTGTTTCGTTGAATGTAGGTTTTGCTAGATACTTTAACCATTATATGTCCGATTTAATCTATTAAATTATCCATGATTTTATGTATTTATAAACAATCAAAAGTTGAAGAATATGTAAGAAAAATGCTACTTACTATACACAGATGATTTTTAGCACCTGTGGAGCTTACAATGACATAATGTGTACCATTCTCTTCCCAGTTTCCATGACAATTGAAACCTGTTTTCCAAAAAAAAAAAAAAATTTCTCTGTTTCATTTTTGGATATGAAATTTAATTTTAAGCTTGTATTTAATTTACAAACCAAGTGTCCTTTTGCTAGAGGCACATTCTTGTAGTAAATCCATCCTGTCTTCCCCCATTGAGCATCCTGAAGTTAAAATGGCGTATTCCGAACATGACGTGGTCACAATTTCTGGGGAATGGTAGTGAGCTAACTGGACATGTGATCCTTCCAGAAAGTAAATTCCCACTAGAGGACAGACCCTTGGTTTCGCCATTACACCTGTTAAAACAAGACGGTTAAAATTTCTATGTTAGAATTTATCAAGAAGTATCTCTTTCTTATAAATAGTTTAAGTTAATTCTTTTTGATTAATACCAGTTCTGGTAACATTTATCTTAAGTTGTTTTTCTCACAGGTGGAAACAAATTGAATAATTATTCCTTTCGTGTCATTCTTACTTGTCACCGATGAACTGTTTCTCGGCAATACCAGACCAAAACCGGGCACAATATCATTACTTTCAGAGCCGAAGTCATTAATCATCGGTAATAACCTTCTAACTGCCGACAAGGGACAACAGTATCTAGAAAAATTTTCACAATTTTTTCCCGACGTAAGCAATCAACTGAAGCTTATCATCTTTCAAGATGAATTCCATTAAAGATATAGTTAGAAAGACCATCGTGAATGAAAACCATGTCATGTCCGAGATTAAATTTAAGAATGGAAAAAACCCCTCTTTGGAAAGAAAGTGCTTCTCGATAGAAAACTCATTAAATTTCCAAAGTTTTCTTTATATTTAAATTTGCTTTTACCTCAGTTAAGTGGTTTACAAGTTAGTAATAATACATGAATAATTAAAATTAGAATATAACAATGGTTCTACATTATCCAACAGCATTTATTCAATAAAAAAATATCCATTTTTAGTTTTTTTAAGAAACTAAGTACTTATATCCAGATGTTTCCAAACTCTTTAATTTCATATTTTTCACTTATGATCATCAATATGTTAATGGTGTATTTCATGCCATATTTTGGCAATCATTATCCCCTTTAATGTAGCTAGTTTTTGCCATCAGAATCTTTGAATTTCTTCCTCTTAAAGTTTAATTTATCAGTATAAATTAATATTTAACTAATGGTTTGGATTTGTGACAGCATAACTTTACTTACTGGTAAGGGTTACGAAATCTGAAGAGAGCGGATCAAAATTATTACAGGCTTCTGCTTCATTATTGACGACCTTACCTGTAATATATTCAGTAAATTTACTGTTAAAATTGTTTGTTAATTGATTAATTATGTTTTTCTTAGTTTACAAATCTGAGCATCTTGTCTTTAAGTACTATATTTTGTGGAGAAGCTATAAATTTACGAATGTGTCTATAATTTTGAATTTTTCTGTAGGAAGTGAAACTCAGATTAGCATAAACCTTGAAAAAACACACAAAGGATGGTACATAATCACTCTACCAGTTTGCATTTCAACAACGTGAGGTGCTCGCTGATGTATCCTAAGACAGGAATAACCAATATTGCTGAAATAAATTAACAAATTAATTATATAAATTACTTTTAATCTTGATAATGTGATGGTTTGCATGCAAGTTAACAAAAAGAAGTGATAACTTTAATGTAGTTTGTACTTGCAATGTAAGTTTTCAATTGAAGATTACATTTACTTGAATCATTTTGTTAACTTACATGCTAACAGTTTAACATAATTCTCACCAGTCTGATGTCACGTGCACAACATATTGAGTATAAGTTACAGTTTTTTGATCTTCTCTAGAACACAGCACTTTTGTGACCAGTTTACCTGAAGTAGCATTATAGATATTGTACGAATTGTTTTCTTCGGTTAAATTATAGGTTTGTAAACCATTGAGAGTCTTCCATTCAGGAGAGCATACCATCCAACTTGGAAACTGGCAACGGTCGTGAGAGTAGTTAACTGGAAAGGTAAAGATATTGTACATAAAAAAAATAATACAGCAGAATTGAATTGATTATCTTGTGGCAATGATGTACTTACCTTTAGTTAGTTTCATGGTTCTGGACCCTTCTGTTGCTGAAAACATTCCATCACAAGTGGCATCTCCAGACTGGGAAATCAGGTATTTGTCTTCATCTTCAACCTTTTCATAAACCTAAAAAGAATGTTTTGGTTAAATTTATAGAAAATTAAATTCCAAAGCTACAAATATCCATTTATAATCAAACTTTGTTTTAATACGTTACAAATAATTGAAATTTTCACTTTACTAAATTTGTAACATCAAACTGATCAAATTTACAAAACAACGAAATTCCTCTTCGTCCGAGTGCGCGTGTTTGTGGACGAGTCTCCCAACTAGAAACTTGGAACCTTCTTTCCATGTAGCTAGACATCGTAGTTCTTCAGCTGTAACAACAGTAAAACAAATCATAAAAATACTGACCGACTTCAATCAGATTAAACTTTAGCATTTCTAGTTTTACATTCAGAATCTGTAGTTTCTGAGAAGTGTTCTGACTGAGTAGATACCACAGGAGATAACAGGATAAAGTTCATTTGTTGCACACAACCATCATTTTTTCTCCCTCCCAAGATACAGTTTTCTGCTTCTTTAATGGCTAATGGCTCTACACAGAGGTTAATATCAAAAGAAAAGATTCCAAATCAATTTTTATTTTGTTACGCTTGTTTAATTGAAAATATTGATTGTTCAAGTATCAATATATAAAAAAGTAGAATTCTTTAAAGTAGAGTTTAGAGTTTCAGTGATACTGCAAAAGAATTGTAGTTTGGAATAAATGTCTGGACATTTAGATGACCACAATGTAGGGTAGATATCTGATAAGTATGATCTGCATTATATCCCAGGTGGATTCTTTAGAATAGCCTTAATATTGTACTTTCCACACCCATTGGTAGTCAAAGGAAGTGGAAAAGGATTTAAGGTTATAAGGTTTTTTTGAAGAGATTGCTTATCTGGAAATGACTATTCCCAAGAAAGAAACAACCTCATCAAAAAAAGGCAAATTGCACCTGTTCCAGTTTTTCTGAGAAGCAGGACAGAGCCGCACAATGACCTTTCTATCCATTTCTCTTTCAATACAAATTTACTCAGCGGACAGTAGCTTTACGGCTTTCATTCTGTTAAAAATCTGAACATTTCTGCCAATCGAAGCTGTCATATTATATTTCTTTCATGGAAGAAGAAATGATAAACAAATCAAAGCCTTTCAGTTTGAGTCAAGTTGAAAGGAGCTGCAGATACCGGATCTAAACACTTGAAAGGTTTAAAAAAAAGGGGAAGAAGAAAGAAAAAAAAAAACAAGTGCCAGAATGTTTAGATGTTTGTCAAATTATAATACATCAAAGCAAAATTTTATTTCCTAGATTACTAATATTCCTTCCTTTTAACATATTAAATAGAGCCAGTTACTAATTACTAATCAATTAACAGGAAGAATTTGTGTTACAGAATTTAAAAAGGGCCATTTGCAGGAGAAAATGGGGTGATTTACTCCTCCTGGAAGTTTTAATTTTGATCGATTGTGAAGAAGAAACGTTTTCCAGCTACCATTTACAAAAAATGGGAACAGAGGATCAGAGTTTGATGGATGGGATATGTCTATATATCTATATATATATATATTTTTTATACAGATAATAAATTCATTTTTGGCTGATTTTTTTGTCAGGAAACTAGTGAAATAAGCTGAAGATGGATTGTATTTTTAAATTAATTTAAAATAAAAATTGTAGCTCATTATTTTCCTACCTCAAAGTGAGGACAGGTGTTTCTATTGTGGGATTAGATTGTAGATTATTCTACCTGATACTATATAAGGAGTAAACATGAAGTGAAAGTAGTATTTTTAAAGCTCACAAAATGATTTATTGCACATCTCTACAGGAGGATATACTTAAATTTGGTAATAAGCTTGCATCCCCCGCTTGATGACAGCTTTGAAAGCAGAATATTTGTCACTTAGGTGCGAAATGTAACGCAATTTAGATATCAGTATGGATGGGGGGAGATTAGGGGATACTCCCCTGTGCCTACCAACAGGAGACTGCCTACCATATGCCAAATATTCGCCATTATTCGCTAAATATCTGTAGTTATTGCTAATTTTAGCGCATCTCTCGTTAGTTGACACTGCATTCTTGCTCCTACATACTTTTTTACAAGTAAAATTATGTATTTTACGACATACAGTTACAATTACTCTACATTCTAGAGCAGTTTTGGTGCGTATATTCCCTCGAAAAAGTCCTCAAAAATAGAATTTTGTATCTATACACGGAGTTAATTGAGGATATACAAGATACCCTCCATTTTTCTGTTCTGTATACGCATCTAAACTCACCTCACGAAGCTTGCAGGCCTTCCACAACCAACACTCGATCAATATCATTCGCGTATCGTAGGTATGTAGGTTAATTATTTTGTTAGAAGTCAAAATAAAAGCACAAACCATGCGAAAAAAATGGAAGCAAAACTTGCAACAAAGACCATACATTACTCGTAATCGTTAAATATCGCTTACCCTATTATTATATGGGTGTAACTTGTATCACGTGATAAGGGAGATAAATGATTGATAGTAGTAGTAAAGCGCTTAATTATAATTAACGTTTTTATCCCTTAGTAATTATTGGGCACTTTCATGAATGGTTCGAAACGTCATCAGGAACCTTAGAAAGTTCTTCAGCGGTGCGCTTCAATAATTTAAACAGGGCGACCAATCATAAACAATTAAGAAATTTCAAAAAAATTTTGTGTTACCACATACGAAACACGGGGTTTACTTGCATAAAAAGTCGGTATCACTAAAAACGCTTTGCAATGTTAAAAACTGTCTATTTTTTACGTTTAAAGAAGAAGAGCATTTTTCAAGAGGAGGGGAGGTTAAAAATCAAGCTACATTTTCTTTTTTTTCCTTATAAAAAGAAATGTGGTAGCTAAAGTGCTACACCCGTGATTCAGAAAGTTAATCTTTCACGACTGTCAAATGACAGACTCGCTGCATGACATATGATACCGTGTAATACAGACCAAAAATTACATTATTGTAGATCTTCCGTATTTATCTCCGTCAAACTCTGCAGAAGGGAACACGTATCCCCCTATTAGGGAGCTTATATCTCTCGCTCTTTCCCCCCTCTCTCTCTCTTTCACCCTCCTCACTTAATGTCCTAGTCATTTCTCTTCCCTGCACCATCTGGTTCCACGTATTGGACAAATTAAAGTTGACTTCGAACTGAGAGCCATCAGCATCTCCGATGGACTAGGTGAATCTGGAACAAGAAAAAGAAGAAAATTCTATACGAAAGAAAGCATTTTGACACAACTGCCCTCCTCCTCCTCCTCCTTTTTTTTTGTCCCACCAAATGTTCCGGAAGTAATGTGTCCACGCAAAAAGATCATTTCCGGTGCCGTTAGTGTTTCTTTTTTGTTCCTATTTGCAGCTTAAGCTTCTTTACTTCTTTCTGGCTTCTAATTAGATCGTCTTTAGATAGTCGAGCTTGATAGGAAACTAAAATTATTCTTGGTTGTAAAAATCTTTTCTCTCCTCCACTTTGTAAATTGTCCTTTGTTTTCTTAATTTATTTGTTGTAAATTATATTCTTCTGATTTTATCTTTACTTATGGCACGTTTCGTTCAAACTTCTTGGAGATTCTGCACTTAGTTTCGCTTTAGATCTTGTTCTAAAGCATTTAGGTTTAGGTCTAAAGTTAAGAACCACATCTAATGAACCTTAAGATCTAGTTCTAGATCGTTTAGACAACTTAAGTAAAGCTTTGGAACTGGATCTAACGTTTAATTATACCTCTCAATCTCGAAAGATTTCAATCTTAAGATACGTTCTGAATTTAATAATTAGATCTACGTGAGCTGTCTGATTCGGAACTATATTTAGCATCTGATATCCGAAAATTAGATTTCTAAAGATCTTCAGGTGAGTTGTAAAGGTAGAGAGCATCTGGTACTAGAACATTCTTAGATTGGTTTGTATTTAGATTTTCTAAATAATTATAAGACGTTATATAGAACGATTAAATTCTATCTTATGCAGATACTCTTGGAAATGCTCCTTGTAAATCCTTCAATTCACAGCATAAAACTTAGTTTAGATCCTTAAAATAGTAAAAAAAAAAAAGTTCAACTCTGCACTTGCCAACGTACAGGAAGGAGAATTTTAACTTTTGATATATCTTGAGAGAAAAAAATATATATTGAAAAATTTTGCATCCTCAGCACTTTTTAACGAACTTTAAAAATTGATAATTTCTTAATTCCCTCCTCATTTATTTGATCAATTTGCAAAGTAATCATCAAACAGACTTCATTCTGTATTTGTCCAGAGTAAGAAAGAGGGAAAAATATTAAAAAAGAAAATGAAAAAGAAGACAGAACAGAAGAGGAGGAGGAGAAAGAGTAGAAGAAAACTAAGTTAATCACTGATATCGTCTTTAAAGGGGAAGGACGGTTAGAAAAGGAAAAAAAATCACCCTGATTGGAACTAATACCATTAGTGACTATATCACGTAATTGGATACGTAATTGGATAAAACTGACTTTTGGAAAGGGGGTGGAGATACATCGATATATGGAGATTATTTTAAGTAAATAAAAAGAGCTTAGAAACTGTGCGGGAGTGCGCGTTATACACAGATCTCGTTATAGCGAATTAATCTGTAATTAATTAATTAAACGAAAGTTTTAAAACTCGGGACATGTTAATTAATAGTAGAATTAATATTTTTAAACCAATAAATCCTTCAGAAAAGTTAGTCACAGATGAGGATTACCTTGAGATGCAATATGAGGGCACTTCACGCAGAAAACTTGCATTACGGATTTATTTTTTAAATATTTCGCTACGTCAATAAGCGCGATCAATCATCGTTTTTTCTCGTGTTTCTTGCATTGTTTGGTGGTATAAAATAGTGTCATTCGTCAGAGGAAGGAAGAAAAAAAATGGCGGTCGTGACGTTATTATCACGGATATTTTGTAGACTGTCACCATCTGTCACCATTTCTGCTCATGGAGTTTCTATATAATGCTTAATGCAAACATGGAAATAACAGTAGAACAATAAAGTAGGTAACAAATGAATGCTTTTAGTGTAGCTACTTGGTGCCATCTTTCGATTCGATGGGTCCTCTTAAAGGAAACTAGGAAATTAGGGTCCACTTATCTCAGTAGCTGAACGTATTACTCATACGTTTAGAAGTTCCGGGTGGGTTTAACAAGCGAAAAGTTGACACTATCAAAGTGTATAAGCTTTATACAAAAAAGGAATAAGAATTGTACTCCTCCTAAAAATAATTTGGGATTATGGAGCCAAAATTATTTTCTTTTCCGTGATAAATTCGCTCCTCCTTAAGGGATCAGTGACCGTAGTAAGAAACCTCATTTTTTAATTCTACACAATTTATTTTTTTGTTACGGGTGTATAAAAATGTTACTATGACGTTAAAATCCGCATCATTCTGGACCAGTTACAAAATCATTTTGCCAAATTGTTAACAACTCCCACGCCTAGTTCTCTTGTGAATCACTCTTTGAAATTTGAGAATTTATAAATTCAACGTAGCTTAGTGGCCCTCGTCGTATTACTCGTGTCTAAGATCTTTATTGAATCAATAATTTAATGCCAAATTTTAAAAGATTGCCACGAAAATGCGCCTATAAAATTCCGACTTTAGCGAGTCTACTGCAAGAGGGAGGGGAAAAAAAGTTTGATGGATCGAAGAATGCTGCGCTATTTTAATCAATTTTATTAGAAAATTGGGCTTGTGGGTATGGCTTAAGAGAGTGACAGTTTACAAAAAGGTATCAAAAACTGGGCCACTTCTCCATTGAAACAGGTTAAACGTCCAAAAATAGCATACTCACTTTTACTCTCGGATACCAGAACGAAATGACACGCTTGAAATTTGAAGAGGAGCCTCGAGTTTTCTGTACAAGTATCCACAGTGGAGGGTGGATCGCTACACTCCTTGTGCCCTCCCTGGCTATAACTGAAGACGTAAGGACCTTCGAAAGGACACGGAACAGGTGGGGTGTTCACTAAATGAAACAAAATTAAATACCTCTATACAATTATAACAGTTTCGAGAGTCTCTTGTAGGAGGAGTTTGGATCTACTCGTGAAGTGTACTTAACTACTGTACTTTGTATAAATTAACTGTGCATACCAACTCCGAGTGGAATTTTAATTACATTCTAATAAATCTGTCTTATTAGCAAAGGATTTTGTCAGAAAATCTAACTATCTAACAGAATATAAACTTAAAATGATGTTTTAAAATATCTTAAAAGTTTGGCATGAATGATTAAATTTTAATGCTTACTTTTCTATGCCACATTTACAAGTTGTTTATTCCATAAACACGGTAATTTATGTTTTATACACTTTAAAATTTCTATATTCCGTTTACTAAATGGCTTTTATACAGATTTTATTTTATTTACTTACGTCTAAACATGGAGAAAAGTAGTGCATCCCCATTGATCTTCTTGCATATAAGAGCTATGGAGATTTCGTCTGGGGTAGGGAAACAGTAAGCTGCAAGGCAAAAAAAATATATATATATATATATATGTTATATAGTATTTTTTAGAGTCTGTTTTCTATTCTTATCCCCAGATATTTCAAAACAGTTCGTAAAGATTCTGTTAAAAGGGTAGAAAATGATCATCGTGTCAGGTGGGGTCTTCTTTACGACAACCATCTGCTATCTGTTACAGTCGATCATTGCTGGTTTTTTATGAGCAACTAGTGCTAAATTTTTAAACTTTTTTTTTTTAAATTAAGCTGCATTTTTTATCGTTTCGCATCACTATTTACACATCTTTTTCCATTTAAAATTTTTAAAATTGTAGTTTAGGTTGTTACAACTCTGCAATAAGTCTTCTTTCACATTTTCTATCGACTCATGATATTTATCATATCAAATTTGAAATTTAAGTAGTTTTTTAAATACCTAACCATTTTTATTAATATAGCATTATTTATCTTCTATCTGCATACATTAAAACCTGCGTAAGCAGGAATCGCACGGCACTGAATATTTTTTCCCTATCTGGTAGGTTTTCGTTTTGAACAGGTTTATTTTAACATAGAAAATCGATATATTCTGAAGAACTTTTTCAGCTTAAGCAGGTTTTCGTTTTAGACAGGTTTTACTGTATTTATGAAAGGTAAAATATGTACGTACGTTAGGTAAAAGAATTCTATACCGTTCAAAGTATCCGCACCAAATTTGGCATTAATATTCTTTACCACCTAGAAAAGCTAAAAGCGCACCCCTTTAAGAAGGGCTTTAGGGTTGTGGGTGTCCCCCAACAACCCTAAAGCCCTCCTTTTCTTAACTTAAGCCCGAGCAACCGAGCACACGAGCTAGTATACTTATAAATTAATAGAAAACCTTTCTATTAAAGGAGGATCGTTGGACTTTTATAGTACAAAATATGGTACTATTTAATATATTTAACTCAGTGGATGTACAGTACAGAACATGAAAATTTAAACCTACTTCAGGGCCTACACAACATGCAAATAATAATATAAATGAATATTTTCGAGTGGTAGCGTAAACAAATTGTTGCATCGCATCGCAGGAGACTTTCACACGATACAATTTGTGGACGTCCCGCGGCTTCGAATGAGACAAAAGCCAAAAAATTTCTTTTCTGAACGTATTTCAGTTGGAAAATATATCTGGAAAAATTATTTTTATATTAAAAATCTTCTGAATTATTGTTATAAATTTCGTGAAATGTCTTCTAGATGAAGTGCCTTAAAAGCATTGAAACATTCGGCCTTTGCAGAATGCTATATATTATTCCAATACGGTCGTACAGTTGAAAATATTCCTCATAAGTTAAAACTGGAAGTATCAAGTATTCGGTTAGTCCTCTTTATAAAAAATGTTTAGAGGTTAATGGATATTCGCGAAACTAGTGGCAAGATTGGAAAATTTGGCATTGCTAAATGTTACATTAAGCATTAAATTTCATGGATATCGAAGTCTTTTTAGTTTATTGCAGAATCGTACTTATACTTCTCGGGGCCCAGGGACTAAATTCTTGTGGGCCTCCTTTACAGATAATTTTCCAAAAAATATTCTCTCAGGTAAGTTAAGGGGGATGGATTTTAATTATCTTATCTGTTCATGACTAATTTTAACCTAGTAACTTACATGATAAACTTTGTGTTTTTTTTTATTTTTCAAAATCTCTTGAGGGCCTTTATCTGCGGGGACCTGAGAGTGGTGCCTCCTGCACGTGTGACTATGTATGGTCCTGTTTATTAGGAGTTAATTATAGAATTTGGTTAATAGAATACCACAAGATGTAATTTACATCCAAGATCTTCTTTATATTTTTTGTGCTTTCCTCTTCTTTCTTTAGTTGTATTTATAACAGTAATTTTTTCCAGGATACCGAAAAAATTTTTGCAAATATTCTTTTTCAGTAGCTGAAACATTTCTTTCAGACCACCCAAATATCAAATTTACAAAATTTATCTACAGGAAAATGAAAGAGACCAACGAACAAAACACTCGTTAATTATATTCTAATGGTTAAATAAGTCATTTCTGAAGTTCAGTTTACAAACTTGGAGAGATTCTACATGACAGAATGACAGAAATAACTCAAAAACTATTCCCCTTCACGAAATTTCTATAAATATACTTACTTTCTTTATACTGTATGACGTTTGGGTGCTTCTCGTAGAGTGCCATACAACGAAAACACCTATCATACCTGGAAAAAACACAGTTAATTAAAGATTAATCGTAAGCGGGGGCAAATTATAGCCTATAAATGCAATTAAATACCGTCTCTTACATATTACTTAGCAAGTTAATGATATAAAAATATTTAAATATTTATATTTCAATTAATTATAATCGGTTTAACTCAAACTTTGATACCAGCTTAAGAGAAAATCTGCGAAATGAAATTAAATTCACTTAAGTTTTTCTCTTAACCGAATCCCACTTTAATGAGGACAATCGATAAGTGGGTACGAATAGATTTTCTTATATTTTAAATGTACTCAGGACACAAGAAGTATAGGAGTGAGGAACAAATTGCAGATATGATTACCTTTCCATTATCGCACATTTGATTATCCTTCCTGTAAAAAAAAAAAGAAATCAATGGGCTAGGAGCGGTTAAATTGAACATTGCATAGGGAATTGATGTGTGAGATTTTTACTAAATTGATACTGAAGGGTAGATTTGGGGAGATACGATGTGTAAGTTCCCCTTTCTAGAGAATGAAATATGAATATTGAAGCGGTGGATTGGTAAGAATTGCAGCTAAGCGGGGTTAAAAATCAATAATAGAAGTCATAGAAGAATGCCAATTGGACGTTTTCATTCATATGGAATTTTATTGTTTGCACAGCTTTTGTGACATACTTTTTATTGTATTTTACCAACGCAGCATTGTTGACCGTTTATAACAGAAAAATATTTTAAATTGCTTCAGCATCTTTAAAGCTCCAACATCTGTCGACCTCTGCGTTTGGCCTTCTTTTTTCTTCCATCATCTGAATTTGTAGTGGGCCATCTTTTTTCAATTAGTTTCACTCCGTCTAGGATACTGGATGATGAATTAAAAATGGGCATTGCTAATTTTGCAGTGTAAAATTTTCTAAAAATACTTTGCAGTCTTTTCTGAAAATACTCGTGGTATAGAAGGATATTCGGTAGAATTTGCAGCATTTTTTTAGATTTGTGTGTATAGGCAAGCATTTAGAACAGGATGTTGAAAAATACTCGTATAACTCGTGCCTTGTAGCGTGCCTTGGGAATATAAATTACGACACACACAAAATCTTATAGGGGCATTTACTTTTTGCAATGGAGCAGAAGCCTTCAACATTTCTTCACCATTCTTGTCGTAGTAACGATAGTTTATTTGAAGTTATGTTTATATATAATACGTTTGAATGCCCATTTTAAAATCGAATTTAATCAATACGGATTTTGGGTAAGTGCATTTACAAACCTGATGCCCATTATTAAAATTATAATTAAAAAACTATTATTTTGCTTAGTACTACTTACACTCAAATCCTTCACGTTCTTCTATATTCCTTATGTATCCAATTCCCTGTTTAGAGTACATCCCATCTATCCAATATTTAGGGTATATACCCTATGTATCTAAGAACATAAGCTCCTTGCTCTTTGGTATATAGTCTTTATATGGTATACACCTTACAGCAATGTGTAGTGCTCTTTTGAATTTCAATTTACTTATCCAGTATAAAAGAGCTACTTGAAATCTTTACACAATGTGTGTATTGTGGTATTACGCAACGCACAAACCAATTTCTTGATGGGGAATATCGATACAAGAGTCTCAGTAGGCTGTGGAGTACTAAGACATGTTACCAACGTAATAAACAGGTTATGAGTTGTGTCAATGAGCTAGTAGATGGACGAACACAATGAATGACAATAGTTACAATCAAAAATTGTGCATTGCAAAGTAAGAAAAGGTAAGCAAGTAATGAAGTTTAATTATTCAACAGATGGCGCCACCGTCTAATTTTAATATTTCCTAGTCATTCTAGTTACTGCCGCCGGCCGAATGCTACAAAAACGAAATAAAAAAAAAACGAGTTGGTCCAGTTGTCTGTGCGTGTATCACGACGAAGAAAAAGTAATAAACAGCCACGTTCTTAAAGTGACAACACCTATTTTAGAGCCATTTTGAAGGCGAAATATTCATTTTTACCGATAAAAACAAGCCATTTTATTATTAAAAAATAAAAAAAGACTGTTCTACGAACGTAAGCATTCCAGTTCGGGAATCGTTTTAGAGAAAAGGAATTTCTGTTGAAACGAAAAACATTGAATAAGCAAGGAAATAGTTGGAAAATCAATGTTTCCTATAGCTATAAATAGATGTCGATAGGAATCGATGAAGGAGAAATGAAAAAATAGGTTGGAAGACAGAAAAAAAGGAGAGTCGAGTTCGCAAGGTCTCCTCATAAATCACTGGCATCATGCAGCCAGGCCACCTACTATGTGCTGCCCTCTAGTGGAGAATAACGAGAAATATATCTTAAATGTGTCCACTCGAGCATTAACGTAAGATAAATGATTTTATGTACTAAAATATATCATCTATAAGGAACATTTGGTAATAGTTTATATATATACACCATATGTGTGTTTATCTGGCGAATTTTTTTCTTCGTGTATAGAAAATATTTAAATGGAAGATCGGTTAGAGTATATAAACCTTTCTAAAAATACTACACAGTATTTTCAGTTTTATAGCTATTGAAAAGGCATAAAGAACGAGGGTATTTTATAGAAAAAATAAAAGTTTAAATTTTATTTATCTTCCTTTTTTGAAAACCTGCAAAAGGGAAAATGCCTTGCTACAATAAAAAATGTTGCAACCCTTCCCCCTTCACACGTACCGTGGCATTTATCAACAGTTAAAATACGAACAGTTTACAGGAAATGAATAATGAATTTCAAAACAATTTTTACTTAATCTTCCTTTTGATCCATGGATATTCATCTATTGCAGATGATGCAAAAAAGAATTGCAAAGTTGAGGAGCATGTGGTATATTTACTGGTATTTTATAATATTCATATTGTATTCTCTTGATAATATATAATTATTAACAGTTCTTATTATGCAAAAAGTTGTTTAGTGTTTTTTGCTTTAGAACTTTCGAGTAAAGGATTTCTATCGTTTAACCATGCCTCCATTTTTAATTTTATCATAAAAGAGTTTTGCATTAATGCTGCATTCGTATGTCAGCTTTGCTGTTTTTGCAAATGTGCTGTACATGATATTCTGTAAAGATACTGCTCTTGTACAAAGCAAAGCATCTTTTTACAGCTCTTGTAAGCAATTTTTTTAAGAATTATAACATCTTAAAGATTATCAACGATTGCATTCTGTAGCAATCTTTGCAAAAACAACTGATATTGCTCTTGTACAAAAGGTGCGCATTGGTCGCACACACTTTTACTCAATACATGTGTAAAGATTGCTTACAAGAGCTGTACAAAGACGCTAAGACGTGTCTTACTTAATACAAGAGCAACATCTTTACAAGATATCACCGTGCATTCTATAGCAAATTTTTGTTAAAACAAAAAGTTGACATACGAATGCAGCATTAACGCAAAAATCTTTTATGATAAAATTAAAATGGAGGCAAGTTTAAACGATAAAAATTCTTTACTGGAAAGCTTTAAAGTGTAAATAAATGCTCCATGACAATAGTTACAATCAAAAGTATAGGACGAGTGTAAAATATAATCAAATTTGCAAGAAAAGCTGTATAAACAATAAAAATTCATAGATATCATAAAATTCCGGTGGAAAAACAGCACTTGAAATAAAAACAATGCGTAGTGAAATATGATATTTTCTTTGATCAAAGATTAAAGAAGAGAAAAAGTCATGTTTATCAACAGAAAGGAAAAAAAGACACACCAAAGAAATTACATGCTGTAATATTTTATTAATGAATGTGGAATCAGTTAAGCAGCTTTAACCAGGCGAGATATTATTAAATTAAGCGTATAACCACTACCATGGATATAAAAATGATCATGTTCGACATTGCGAAAGCTTATCGGTTAAAGGATACATTATCATATCGTTGTCTAAAGCACATTAGCCTGTCAAAGAAACTTACAAGAAAACAATTGGATAATCATTTGCATCGATTACTCCAAGGTAACACCTGGAGGGGAAAAAGTCCTCTAACTTGCTTCTTTCTCTTCGAGATAATTTGTTTCGAGTCAGATCTCCAGGGACCAGATTTCTCTAGACTTGGCAGAATTGCCAAGGGAATTAAAAGTTTTTCCCCCTCTCATTCTGCGGAGACTGATAATCATTATACATTGACAGTCTCGTCTTTGGATAAGAGTGAATCTTGAAAGGTTTGTCGACTGCCATCAAGAGCAGTTTGGTCCATATCCAAAGTCAATGCTAATGCAAAGCGTTTTGCAAGAGTAGAAAGAAAATTCTGTCTCGATTTTCTGTTAATATTTTTTACTTTATCCCTTTTAAAATTACGGTGTAAATATAAAAGAAACGGGGGGGTGCATTTTCTTAGATCCGGATTCGGAATTTGCAATGGAAGCATTTGGAGCGTACAGATAAAGCAATAACTTTTATTGAATTCCTTTTTGAATTTCGTATAAAATTCTAGATTCCTAAACAAGAAATCTTTGCAATTTTATGAAATTTCAGCGACGGAAAACTACTTTCGATAAATAAAAACATTTGCATACCTTGTGTGCAGATGTGTTTTTACAATAGATTTACATACTGAGAAAGTGGTGCTGTAGTTTGTTTATCACTTTTACGATAGATAAAAATATAGAATATCAATGATATAAGTGCTCTTTTTTTTGCCTTTCCTCCCATTCTGAAAAGACAAACTCTCCTCTCTCCTGTCGATATCAGTCACAGCTGGCACGACACGAACCCTAAGAAACATGAGAGGCCCTTTTTTTTTTAATATTTTCTCTCGATATTCTCTTCTAAACTTGATCGTGTTAATGCTTAGATGATTATTACGAGTTAAAGAAATATTTCAAAAGTCATTTGTATTTTTTTTTAACTTTTTAAAACAGTTTGGGGTTTACAAAATATTTTTTGAAAATTCTTCAATACAAGAATTAAAAAAAATGATGGTGCTCCATTTTTTTATGTATGTTTGATGAGGCGAAAGAGAAAACATTTTGTCATTTATGAACAATAGT